TTGCCAGAATAATGAACTAACTCCATAAACTGCAGAAAACTGTTTTTCTTGGGCTCTCTAAAGCCAGGCTAGCTTTCTTAGATCATGTAACACAAGAGTGGTAGGCTAAGACAGAAAAAAACAAGACCCAAGGGAAGAGGCAGAACAGAGTTTTTTCATCCCTTCATGCAGCAGTAATAAATATGGCCTGTGTACTCATTAGCACCAAGCTGCATACAGTTTTGAGGAGCTTGTGCTTGATAAATAATGCAACAGAGGAGTGCCTGTTTGATCCTTGAAACAGTAGAAACCTGGGGACCATTTTTCTTCAAAGCAAAGCAGTACAGGTAAGCAGAGGCTTCCTGGCAGAGTCACAAAGAACATTAAGTCCTTGAAACCGAGTCATTAGATTATAACATTGTTACAGTGTTTGATAATCATTAGACTGCGATTCAAAAATACAGATTCTGGCTTTAAAACAATGTTTATTTACTACTCAAACTTTAAGGGTAAGATTGTAAATGTTGCCTTCCTTTACCAAACTTTTAACAGCTGGACGCAGGCTTTACTTTTCCCAACACCATCCTTTTTAACATTCAGACAATGTTACGCTCATTGAAATGAAGAACAAAACCCTGCTCCTGCTAAATGAAAACACTCACACTGCAAGCAAGCCTCTGGAGAAAAGTCTGAATAATTTTTATTATTTTCCACCAAAAAAAGGAGAAACTAGAAGCCTCTACATATTATCCCCTGAAAGGAACCTATATGTCACTGTTCATAATTTGGCTGTAATTAGCTGTTTTGAAGCCATTTCTCTCCTTGTCTAGAAGAACCAGCATCTTACATTGCAGTGTACACCTGCAGCTTTCAGAAAGCCAACTTTTGAACTTTAGAACTTTTTTTCTCAAGCCACCAGGAATTGAATTTAACACAAATTATAAAAATATAATTAATTACTGTCAAAAACTGGGGAGAAGCTTTCTTTGACTCCTGATTCACTGAATATTATACAAATGTAACTGGGGATTATAGAAAAAAGCTAACAAAAAAAAGCTGTCAAGGACCATCAAATGAACTGCAATGCATATTGTACTAGTAACTGTTTTGAATTCTGTAAGAAGCCATGCAATACAAAGAAACCTGTCATTACACTGGGAGATACATTTAATAATGATATTTGAGACATGCAGACTGACAGAGACCCTGCATGAGCTCATCCATCTGTCCTCTAGATCCCGTTCCTGAAACATTTCTAGCAAAAAAACTGTATTTCACCCAGTCTTCCTACCTGCACCTTTAATGCAGAGGCACCTTTAGAGCATTCACTGTCATTTATACATACCTAAACATGCATAATTCAGTGCTTCACTCTCTGAACTCAAGAAAACATTACCTGATATACCGCGAGGCAGCGGTATAAAACACCTACATAGCAGGCACCGGTGCTGCCGTCGGCCTGTGCAGGTTCTGCAGTTGTCTCTTTTGAAACAACACAAAAGCATATTCAGTTCAGGCAGAGCAGGAGGATATGACAGATGGATGTGATTTAGGACAATATTCATCTCTTTCTTGAAGTTGTTCCCTCCTGCTGCAAAGTGTCTCGGGAGTCCCAGAGGGCAACAAGCGTCAATACGACTAGTCAGCGATGGGAGGATTGTGTTCTTGGCAGGGCGCTGCTATTTATAATCACTCAACACAGGGAAAGTGTCCAATACTGTTAGGAGCTTCTTATCTCTGGGCTCTGTCAATATTCCTCTGTGTAGGCGGGCAGTGATGCTATCGCAGCGCACCCAACAGCAGCTTCACACAAGGCATGCCACACATACATGCATACACCAACCTGAATTCAAACTGACACTGGTCTTTTTTCCCCCATACAAACCATTTCTCTGGTTTCTGCTAAATCCAACATACAGATTTGCATGTGTGTGTTTGTGTGTGCTGAATCAGTGAATTATTCAATAAATTATTCAGCTGTTTAAAATTTCCTCAATAAATTCACCACTGAGTTTGATAGAAGGAACCAACATTTGACTAAAACATTCCATCAGACTGTTTCTTCTCTGTAGTACACAGTTGCTGCAAAGGCTACTATTTTCTTCACATGCAGTTGTAATCACCAAAGTTGTTTTTGGTTGTTAGACATGTGCACACGCACACACACACACGCAACTGTTCTGGAAAAATGGAAATAAAGCAAAAGTGATTTTTTTGAAAAAATTTCTTGACATATCTTTCAGCATTTTCCCCTTTTATCCCAATTTGGACTAGGCCAGTTCCCCTGACACTGCAGTCCTTTTCACTGCTGACTCCATTGTTAGCCGGTGTGGACTGTAGACACACATGGAGTCAGCGCCTGTTTCTTTTACCTGTCAGTGAGGACAATACTATGCTTGGAAGTGCATCTTCTCGCTCGCAGGTGAGTCTCTTGTGTAGTGTCAAGGACATGATCCCTCACTGGCTTCCTGCTTATGAATATTGTCTGTATTGGGCACTGCAGTCCTGGGTTGAAGCTGGGTCCCTGTAGCAATAGGTGAATGTTTTTACCCAACACCACACTGATACCCCCTTATGACTATACCTTCTTTCTTTCTTAGAGTACAGACATACAGCTCACACAGCCCTGTTAGGTCTTATAGCTACTGAACCCTCTTACAGCTACTCTCTGTGTGTCTTTTGACTGAGCACAGCACCTATATAATAGGCTTATAATTGTTCAGGCAAGAACAGTCAGCTGAACCATTTAATCTTTCAGCTGAGCAGTATCTGCCTGCTAAATCAGCTGTGACTTGTCTTCAGAGACAATTAGTTGAACTATTACGTGGGCCACAACAAGGAAACACAGACAATTTTGTCATCTTATTTGTCCAGAGATGCCCCACCTGAGCTTTCACTGTTATACACAGAGTGGGAGCTGCCCAGTATAGCCACAATAATACTGGTTGTCAATGGAGTAATTTGGTGGTATAGGAAAGGGACTTGGAACCGACCTGTTACAACTTAGTAATGCCAGTGTGTAATCCGACTGTGCTCTCTCTCGTCCCAGTTTTAACTACTTATACTGTTATGTAATGGAAAATACATCCTTTAATAAGGCACATATGTAAGTAGGGAGAGCAATGCCAAAATATCCCAAGAAACTGCTGTCTAGAACTTAAATATGTTGTGATGAGTAGTTAAACTATGATATTTACGTCAACATAAAGCCTCCTTGGCCTTCTATGATTGATCTTAAATCAATTCAATTCAGAAATCAAGACCAAAATCTACTATTAGTCCAATTCAAGATACTACAATGTAAGCACAAACATGCATCAAGGGGCAGCCATGGTATGATTACAATATGACACACTCAAAATAGGAATGATACACATAAACCATGCATGCATACTCAAAATTTGCACAACCTACATGTAAGACGAATTGTATTAGATCTGGCATGGTTACCATAAAACTGACCTACATGAAGCCACCAGTGTCTACACACCCAGTTATTCTTCTTATAATGGTTATTCAAGACGATGTATTTATACACCCCTGATGCTAAACGCACAATAAGCTTTGAATATTATTCCGTCATTCAAGTGTGGCTGGAAATGAACATGCTATTATGTCACAGAGCAAGAGAAAGGTCTTTAATATTCTGTAATTCAAAAAGTATCACACGCAACTCAAAATGCAGTTCAGCTGAAACTGTCTTTATACTAACATAACATTGGAATTTGTACATGTGTTTATGTTGTTATGTTTTATTTTGTTTGGTCTTAACAGCCCCCACCCTCAACACTGCGGCTCTGATGTGATTACAGATCTTTAAACAGAATTATGCATGATCCATTTTTAATAAAGTCAGAGTACTGATTTTCTGTTTCCACTGAAACGTCCTTATTGCCAACCTGACACTTTTCCATCCACTGAGGGCCAAAACAGTTAGACAGTAAGACTGGTTATACTGACACACACTCAACCAAATACCCAGTCTGAACTGACAATACACACACACACACACACACACATAATCCTGCCATGATTCTTTAACAGCACAAACAAAATATTCAGATTTTAATAATATACACACCACACAGATGGTGTGCATAGAGGAACCATGTACTAAACACTAAAGACATCTCACTCAAATTTCCTTACAAAGTATTTTATGAGTGCAGAGCTGCTCACCCAGCAGGCAAGTACTTCATAACTGCTGGCGTTGCCCCCAGCAAAGTCCGAACTGGCCCAGCTGTCACGCTGGGAAAACAGAATCAGGCGCACCTAAAGTCATTTCACAAGACCTGGCTGTTTTAAGGGATCCAGATCTGTAGCAGCCATCATTCCATAATATCCACTTATTTATTCAGCAAAATGCTAAATTCTTCAACCCAGCAGTTGCCTCTTGGTTTGCGGCGTTCAGAGTTGCTAATCGTGTTAAACAGTGGAGAGGACATGAATCGGAAGCTACATAAACAAGCCTCTAAGCATCAGACTGGAGGCTCAGCAGGCTCATCTCCCACCACACTGCTAAACCTCTCCATCCTGAGGGCTGGTGTGGTGGCCTGGGGTTGCACTGGGGAGGGAGAGCTATTACCTCTCCTTTGGATAGAAAAGATGTAAACAAAAACATATAAACAAAAAATGACCCAAGAGAAAGCTGCAGTCTTTACCCCTTTGAAATATTGTTTCAGCAGCCCAGGGGGATTTATTTAAGGCTGCTTTGTTACAAACAAAGTCAAAAGTATTGTGAATGTCCACAAATAAAATTTGCTTTTTGTGTCAGATGGAACCTACTAATGCTGATCCATATGTACCTTAAACTGTACAGGAAGAGGCATAATGAATAATGAAAGCTACTTTAAAGCAGTGGTTTCGCTATTGAAGTTTTTTTCCTTCGGCCATAGTGTTTAGGCACTACATTGCCTAAAGTTAGCATTTTTTCCATCTTAATCACTTTGGCAGTCTGAACTCTGAAATCTCTTTAGCTCACAGTGGTTTGATGACAAAGGCCAATCCTGGTGAGGTCTTACCCTGTAGTAGTCACTGCTGTAGATATCCCTGGACATGCCGAAATCTCCAATCTTGACCAGCAGGCCATTGCCCACCAGGCAATTACGGGTTGCCAGATCTCTGTGGACAAAGTGCTGGGAGGCCAGGTAGACCATGCCCGAGGCAATCTGGGTGGCGATGTGCAGCATCTGGGAAAGGCCTAGCTCTCCGTTGGACTGCAGCGGCTGGCCGTCCACCAGGATCATGGCATCTGGGCCGTGGGCTCTGGGTTACAGAAAATAATGTTGATTAATTTGATGAACTAATATTGATAATGAAGTTCTCTAGTCTCTGTTTTTAAGTCAGACTATGTAACTCTTGCTGAACAGTTGCCACTGTGGCCAGAAGTGGTAATTACAGAATAGGCTCATCTGTGACATGATAAAACATAGAGTAACAGACACAAGTCAAGTAGTGAGGAATGCTAAAGTCAGTTAATTGACTAATTGAGTAATGTCAGTTATGAAGCGACATCTATCAAACTTAGCCTTTATAAGCCTTTGGTCGTACCAGAACAAGGAAGGATGTAGCAGCAAAATCACACAGTGTACTGAATTAATAAAAGGTGAGTTTCATTGCTTATGACTTAAACTTTCCATTTGTAAGAGGATATTTCTTCTTTTAAAAGTTACATAATATAATTTAAATTGCTGGATGTAGAAACCTTTAATGCCTTTTCAGCATGGCAGACAATAACCTGACTGCCCCTTTAATAAGTAACCCAAAGCTCCTTATGGTGCTAATAAACCCTTATTCTGGCACTACTGGTGCCTTTTTCTACCTATTGCGAAAAATTACCATAATAAAGAGAGAGTGTCAAAATGAAAAATGGAATATTAAAAAATGAATTATAACCAGCAAACTGTTTTAATTACAATGATAAACCATTAAGTGTCTGCACTGTTTTTATTAATTGTGTAACTGTTATGTGACGCCTTTTGCAACATTTTCATCTACTCCAGCCTGTCTGGAATTGAAGTCGTACATTTAACAAGTTCTCTCAGGCTGTCTTTCTTCCGCCATCGCTCTTTTAGTGCAATTCAGTGTTCTTTGCTTTATAAGTGTGTGTGTAGTAATTCGGCTCCACTGTAGAGGGATTAGTAGAACTCTTCCTCAGTGTGTGTCTTTTTGTCTTTACCTCTTCTTTACTTCACAGACATCTAGCAGTGGCTGAATGAGTGCAAGCCGCCCTCTGATTATCTGAAGGTTGAGCTGGACCCGCAAATCAGATACTCTATTCATTCATACGGATTCTCTACACATCTCATTTGTTAAATGTGACCAACAGGACCAATAGACCAAAAATCAGCCACGTCTTGCACCTTGCATGAAAGAATTTCATCATTCGCGACATTGCCTTTCATTTCAGGAATGATTTCCCAACAGAAAGTCTTCACGCACTCTTGAATCCACACACACACACACTCACACTCCATCGTAACATGTCATCTTTTCAACTATTGCTCAAACTTCAAAAACAAGATAGACCACACACACACACACACTGCTGCTGTCAACGCACTTGAAACAACACACTTCTATCCCAGACTCCTCTTGTGCACACTGACATCAACCCCAGTGAAGCTTTCCATTACCAAAGCACTCGCTGTACCGGCATCATGTCGCTTTTGTTGAGGCTTATCAGAGGTCACTTCCCTCGGTACAGTCTGACATTACGGAACAAAAGCACTAAAGCGCTCGTGTTTGCTAACCCAGAAAGCTGTGAAGTTGGCTGAATATTGAATCGACAGCAGGAATTTGACGAAAGAATTTTAGAGTTCTTGTACTTACTTAAATTGTTACGTTGACATACTGCAGATAAGTCCCACCTCTACCTTAAGTGAAAATGCTCCTGGTACAGGTGGCACACATTCACATATTTGCGCTGTAATTAGGCTTTCACACACTTTAGTTTGCTACTGTATGTCCATATAATGAATTTGCTCAGCCAGCACTCGCCTGGTACATTACGGTTTAATCGACTTAACTGTCAGTGAAGAACTGACCTGAGGAATTTGTTGAGGTCTCCATGCTTCATGTATTCGAACACCATGATGAGAGGGTCTCCGTCTACGCACACTCCATAGAATTTAACAATGTGGTCGTGCTGCAGATTGGTCAGCAGCTCTGCCTCCCTCTGGAAGTCCTTTCGTGCCGACAGGTTGGGATCTTTCAGTGTCTGCAAGGGGAAATGAAAAGTCATATTACGCATTCAGAGAGGATGAACATTAGAATGGAAGGCTGGGACAGTCATAATGAGCTGACAAGGCCTGCCCCAGTCCCAAGCTTCAGGAAATGCAGCCTCCTTTTTTTCCCCCTGACTTCTGAATCAACCACTGTATCCTCTGCATCCATTAATATCTTACAGTCCATTGTCCCTGTCATTTGTCTCATGGTAAATTCCAGTGGCTGTTCGTGTGAGCCAGGCATACATTCCATTCCAGTGTCTGTTCTTACTAGCAAAGGGAAAGAGATACATACAAGTAGTATTATTCTAATAACAGTGGTACATTCATTTAGTTAGTTAAAGAAAAACAAGTTTACCACTTTGGCGACAATATGAGGGCAACTTCCTGGACATAAACATGGAAATCTTTGTCTTTACAAGTTGACAAGGACTACTTGAAGGCACTATTACTTCTGGTCTCTGTGAGGTTAAAGACCCAAACTTTGACTCCTGTAGAGGGGGCACATAATAGTCCCTGTTGTAGGTTCAACTCCGGTCCTTCCAGAAACACATTGTTGGGCTGCATCCTTCAGAGTGCCTGGCCCCTAAATTGTGCTGCATTCTTTCACATCGTCTCCTTTTACCAGTACTTCTTATGCTAAGTTACACCCTGTGCTCTTCTTCCTCTCTTCCGTTATAATCCAATTAGTTAACTGCTCTTTGCTTTGAATCATCCGCTCAGTACGGCCAATTTGTCCTTCAATATGCAGCCATGCTGGTGGTGCAGCTGAAGGAATAACATTGTCGTTCGGTTAGTCCATCACTTTGGTTCAGACTGAAATATCTGTACAACTATTGGGTGTATTGCCATAGCGACATTCATGGTCCTTAGACTCCTACTGTCCTGACTTTTCCTCTAGCACCACCCTGAGGTTGGCAGTTTAGTTTTTTAGTGAAACGACTCGACAACTGCTGGATGGATTACTATGAAATTTGTCACAGCTATTTAAGATTCCCAGTAAGTCCTAATAATTTTGGTGATCCCCGACTCCTCGAAACAGCAGGTCATCATTTCTCCAATCAAAGACCAAATACGTGCAAAACTAATGACACTCCCGTCAGCCACAGCTTCATAGAGCTGCTAGCGTGGCTGTAGACCCTTGCTGTCCTGGGTGTGGTCTGAACTGTTTTTTTATACTGAGTCATCCATTCCCTTTTGTTACTGCCTCCAGCTCATGTTGTTGATACACTTGTTTGCCAATCTCCTCCTCTTTCCCCATGAGCACCAGCTAGACTCCATCGGGATAGAGAAGATAACAGGGCAAATCGGTTTCTATACGATTATCTTGTTCTCCTGATAGTCGATGGAAAACACAACACTGAGTCTACTGTATGCCAAATTCAGAAGCATTTCCTTTTTTATTCATAAATAAAGCTTTGAAACTATGAAGTAGTCTGACTGACTGAACAGCATTTTCTCTTAGTTTACAGTGGTACATTATATACATCCAATAATCCTGTACACAGTTTTTAGGCCAGTAAGCACAACAACTGTAATGTTCAGGGAGTACTGGTGCAGCTGGCTTGAACTACTGTACACAAAACAAATTGATCCGATTGGTAAAATGATCAAGCAGGGAGTGCCTTGAACTCATTTGAAGTGGATTACACATAAAATATCAAATCTTGTTCGGATGTCAGTTGAAGCTGCCAGTGTTAGAAAAAAAAGGGGGGGAGAAATCAAATAACAGCAATAACGTGCCTTACTGCAGACTCTATTGGAGTAAAAAGACTCTTGACACTTCATCAGCAACAAGAAAATACAGCAAGTTGCTTCTCTTGATCTGCTTGGCCTTGAGTCCTGCTTTCCCAGCCTGCTGCTGACGCTATTACAGATGGAAAGACCTTGGGATGGAAATACATTTACTCATATGTGCTTTTCTTGCAGAGAAGAGCTGGAGGTGGTTCAGATGTACGGCAGAGTAGGTAAAATAACCATAAAATTCTATTACCAAATCAAACCGCACTCTTAAGGAAATGTCTCTTGTCTGGGCGTCTCTCCAAAACAATACCTTCAAGTGCTTGACTACAATAAATTGAGGGAAAGAGCTGCAATGAATTTTCCCTTTGTTGACCTTTAAGTGTATTCAGAGAGCCTCTTTCTGCTTTATCACAGACAGGAACATGTTCAGATGAAAATGCACATTGCATTGTGTTTTAAAAATAAAGAGGATTCTGTAGAGGAGGATTATTATAAAACAGATTAAGGTTCTTTTGTTAATCCTGTAATACAAAGAAAAGGAAGTTACATCCAGACACTCCATCATCATTGTCATCTTAACTCTTCCACTAACTTCTCCTGTTGTCAAGGTCAGGGTGGTTTTCTGACTTTAATTTATTTCCTGGGTAGGTTTGCTGAGTCTGCAACCTCATATTCAGCATCCCCCTGCTTCACATTTATACAGTTCCTCGTATTCACACTTGGAGCTGCCAGCACAACTTAATGTTGAGCACTGTAAAAGCACTGATAGCCACCAATTGTTCTAAATGCTTTAAGTGCTTTAAAACAAAGCATCAAGTTCACTGGGGTATTAACTTTGCTCCACCGTAATTGCTGGTCCCTTGGCTGATACTTAGACAGGTTTTGAATGGTACAAAGAAAGGTAGAGGTCGAGGCACCCAGCCCCAGATGACAGAGCCCTTACCCACCAAACAAAAGACTTTCCAAAATATATTTTATCTACATTGTGTCTCAAGTCACAGAGGTCATTGCTTCCTACTAACAAAATTCATTTGTGACATTTTCAAAGAGATAAATGTCCTTTTTGCTCATGTCTTACAGTGACATACTGTATAGCATGGTAGTGATTCAACCTATACCAAGTTCATGGAAGAGAAAACAAGCATAGCTGATCCTTTAGTCCTGTTTTCCCTCACTGTCATTTACAGGAATAGTTTGACATTTTGAGAATTATGCTTGCATCTGTTATTTGCGTGGGTGAGGGTAGGATTCAAGGATAATTTAAATGGAAATCGGGTCATTGAAATGATGTAAAAACTTTTTCTGATATAACTAGTGACTATATCTAATAGAGCTGCACAATAATATAAGTATTATCGAAATCGCAGAAGCTGCAATTTTTTGATAAAGAAAAAATGTGTAGACATGGATATATATATATATATATATAGATTGATATAGATGTATGACAATATAGCCTGATACCCATTGTAGCTAGGAAAGCTACCTAACTTTGGCATATTTACTGTACACTGATAATAACTGCACAATGACAGTTTTCACATTGTACAACAAGATGCATTGCATTGAAGGGTTGTTAGCACAAAGTTGTGTGACATGCTTTTTTTTGGATGCCCAGAATACGGACACTCAAATAAAATGGCGGGAAATGAACACAGTGTACTATACAGAGAGTTATTTCAGATGGCTGTGTCCTGGCACATAACCTCCCATTAAAACATGCATACACGTTTGCACAGTGAAGACATACCTTGACAGCCACCAGCATCTTGTCCTTGGTGGGGCTGAGGTTGTAACACTCTGCCAGGAAGACTTTACCGAATGCTCCCTCACCCAGTTCCCTTTTCAGGATGATGTCTCTCCGCTTTATATGCTGGACAACTAAACCATAGAAAAGCAGGGAGAGAAAAAGTGGAGAAATAAAAAGTGATGAATATTTTTTTTCAGATATTGAGCTTTCGAACATTTTTATTGTATAGAAAACAAATATCTTTAGAAGTAGAATTTCACCCCAAATTAATAGTTTGTCTTTATCTCTAACACCTAGGAAGGAACAAAGAGAGAGAGAGAGAGAGAGAGAGAGAGAGAGAGAGAGAGAGAGAGAGAGAGAGAGAGAGAGAGAGATAGATAGATAGATAGATAGATAGATAGATAGATAGATAGATAGATAGATAGAGAGAGAGAGAGAGAGAGAGAGAGAGAGAGAGACATTGTACTGGAAGCTGTATGAGCTGCACTGTGGCTGCAGCTACTTTGTACTATTTAAAATTCTAGGCAAGATCTCAAGTTTCTCTAGATACACATATGTCATGAATTAAGGAAGTATGTGCAAAATGATGCACAAGACATCCTGAAGTCTTGAATATTTGAATATTCCTCTTCATATAAGTATGATACAGCTTCAGTGAAGTGCTGAAAAAAGACGTTACAGAATATGTGATATTGTCAAAATGTAAAAAATGTTGTATCTAACTTTGAAGCTACTTTAAAGAGAATACTAGGAACATTAGGGTTGAAGTGGTTTTAAATCTCAAAAGCGCAAATAAACCGTGAGATGGCATTGGACCTGCTGAGCTGCAAATCTCTTATCTGGATTCCTTGGTTTTACTGTTGGCATTGAAACAATACAGAGGGACATTTTATAATGAGAACACAGTTGTAAAATGTTTGTTTCTGAGGAAAATAAAACAACTAGCTGAGCAGTGAGAAAAACAATTCCTCTGTCTTTCTCTATACTTCTTGTTAAAGTGAGTAATCTGGAAAACTAGAATAAGTATTTTGCGTATTGTGACCTTCATTCTTTTCCCCTCAATTCTTGTTAGTGCTTGTAATGTTTGTGACCACAGAATTGAACATAATTCTTCTAATTAGTGGTGAAAAGTGGTGAATTTTGCAAACTGACAACACTCATGAGAGGCAGAATGTGTGAGAAAGACAGAGATACAGGGAAAAAAAGGACTAGTGAGACATAAGGTATGAAAACTTGTAGGTATCAGGGCTAACATTTTACCCCCTGATACCTGCCAGGCTCAGTATGAAAGAGTAGGGGAAGTGTAGGAGTTGTTGGCTCCAGAACAGAACTGCTCCTCATGCCTCATTCTGAATAAAACATGACATCTTGTCTTCTATCAATGCGCGCGCACACACACACACACACACACACACACGTTTCCAAAAACATCAGATTTAAATAAATATGCTTTTCACCACAATCAGCTTGGATGTCATATAGCTGGAGCTGCACAGTGTAGCTCTCTGTTTTTAAAAAATAAATGAACTGAAGTGAGGATGTTTAAAGGACACATAGGTGAAGGGCCAACATAAAGTTATTAAATATTAAATCAAATCACAAATTAGAAATGAAACCTTAACCTTAAGAATTCAATTACATTCCAATGGTTGTTATCACTGTCCAATGTTTGGCTAACAAAAGTTATTATGTTATTTTTTTATGCCACCACAGACTATTCAGTTTATTGTTTGTAGATCATTCTTCTCTTAATCTGACCAAAACCTTTATGAACGCAAAGGTGTACCAGGGTCCTGTCCACAGACAATACAATTAGTTATTCAAGGTCCAGTGTGTAACATTTAGGAGGTCCTATTGGCAGAAATGGAATATAATATTCATAGGTATCTTTTCATTAGTGTATAATCACGGAAAATAAGAAATGATGTGTTTTTGTTACCTTAGAATGAGTTGTTTTTATCTATCTAGGGAGCAGGTTCTCTTCTGCGGAGACCACCATGTCAAACTGCCATGTTTCTTCAGTTGGCCAGAATGGACAAACCAAACATCTAGATAGGATCTTTTTACGGGAGTTTTACGGCCACCATAGTTTAGACCTACGCATTTGGAAGGGGAGGGTGAAGTGAGTTGGTTGCAATTTGCACCTGCACTGCTAGATGCCAGTAAATCTTACACACTAGTCCTTTAAAAGAAGAAACCAGAATTTAAGCCATTTTTAAAACCAAGCTAAATCAATTGGTCTTATGATGCACAGTCAAATTACACAGTGTCATCACGAATTCCATGCTCAGTTCTGCATCTTTTAGGAAAGAGTCATGTACTGTATATTGTGTAAGATTTAGTGGCATCTTGTAGTGTAGTTGCAGATTGTATTTCCAAAAGTACATTGAAAGGAGAAGTACCGTGGCAGCATCTGTAGATATAAAAGGCTCATTTTAAGGTAACAAAACAATTCTTATATTCAGGTGATTATATGAAAACATACGATGAATATTATATTCTGTCTGCCAATAGATCCTCCTAAATGTTACACATGGATCTTTAATTGTCCTTGGACAATTACGTGCAAACTGGGTCTTGCCTACTGACTATGATGCTGCTGAGACATGCATTATGTTTTACATATGTCTTCAGGTTTCCCATAGATTCTTGTCAGCCAAGTCACTGAGGAGAGGAAGACAAGTAAACTTCAAGGATCTTAATCCATCCTCCATCTGCATGTTTTTTAAAATCACACTGGTGGTTGTATACATATCATAGAAAGTATGACTGTGGACTGAATATCAAGCAAGTCTATGTACACTGGTGTGCCTGCAGCAGAAGCCCATGAGCTGTTGCATCTGTTGTAATCAACAAACATAATAGAGAGGAGGCACCCAATGTTGCTTCAGCTTCTCCCATGCCTGAAGGCTGATTTATAGTTGTACACAGAGCCTACGCTGTAGCCTACGCAAGTGGTCGCTGTGAGCATTTATACTGGTGCGCTGATGTGTCTGCAGCGCTATGTAATTTACACCGCCAAAACACTAGTAGGTGGTGGGGTTTCTGTGCCACTGTGTTGACTTTCTTCATGTTCTTCAAACAATGGCGAGTGAAACTGAAAATCTCCCTCATCTCCTCTCAATCTACCCCCCCCAGCTGCCCGTGAAACTTCAGGACGAGGGAATAAGAGGGCACAGACATGCAGTGAGGCAGCGTCCAATGTGAGTGTGTGTGTTTGAAGAGTGAATCTCAAACAGCATTATTAACTCATCTGGGTTTTGCATGAGTCACCTTCCATTGTGCACACACAATGCAATGCTAGGTGGACCAATCACAGTTGTTGCGGTCTGTGTTGCTGCAATAGTTAGTTACATTTCTAGGGAGGCGCATGTATGCACACACACATACACAAAATTATCCATACCCCTGGTAAATTTTGATTTAAAGTTACTTTTATTCAACCAGCAAGTTTTTTCTTGATTGGATATGACACAGGTGTCTCCCAGAAGATAATCAGACGATGTACAAGAGGCATCACTGTCGAAAAAAAATATTTCTCAGCTTTTATTTACATTTGAACAAAAAGTGGCATGTCCAAAATGATTCATACCCTTCTCAGTCAATAGAAAAGCCTTTATTGGCTATTACAGCAATCAAACGCTTCCTATAACTGCTGACCAGCTTTTTGCATGTCTCCACTGGTATTTTTTCACCCCATTCATCTTTAGCGATGAGCTCCAACTCTTTCAGGTTGGAGGTTCTCCTTGCCATCACCCTGATCTTTAGCTCCCTTCACAGATTCTCAATTGGAGTCAAGTCAGGACTCTGGCTGGGCCACTGCAGAACGTTAAGGTTTTTGTCCGCTAAACATTTCTTCACCCCCTGTGTTTTGGGTTGTTGTTGTGCTGAAATGTCCACTGGTGCCCAAGGCAAAGTTTCTCTGCAGACTGCCTGATGTTGTTGTTGAGCATCTTGATGTATTGCTCTTTTTTTCATGGTGCCGTTTACTGTGATTAGGTTCCCTGGTCCATTGGCTGAAAAACACCCCCTAAGCATTAGGTTCCCACCACCATGTTTGACAGCAGGAATGGTGTTCTTAGGGTTGACGGCTTCTCCTTTTTTACGCCAAATGAAGGATACATTATTGTGGCCAAACAATTCAATTTTTGTTTCATCTGACCATAAAACAGAAGACCAGAAGTCTTCTTCTTTGTCCAGATGAGCATTTGCCAAGGCCAAGCGGGCTTTTGTGTGCCTTATCTGGAGAAGTGGTGTCCTCCTTGGTCTGCGTCCATGGAACCCAGCAGTGTGCAGTGTCCGTTGGACTGTCTGCATTGAGACGTTGCCACCAGCAGAGCCCAGATTCACCAGAATGGCCTTGGTGGTGATCCTTGGATTCTTTTTACCTCTCTTACTATCTTCCTGGCCAGCACCGGTGTCACTTTTGGCTTCCGACCAAGTCCATACTTTGCACTGTAGCCACTGGAACTTGAAAACATTTAGATATGGTCTTATAGCCCTTTCCTTACTTGTGAGCAGCGACAAAGCACAGCCGCAGGTCCTCAGTGAGCTTCTTTGTCTTAGCCATGACTGTTCACAAACCAACTGCAGAGAGCTGCTGTTTTTCACCTGTTGAGTTGATTAAAACAGCTGTTCCCAATGAATCAGGGTAATTAGGATGCTTTAGAACAGCTTGGACTATTCGGAATGGTATAGAACTTTGGATTTTCCCATAGACTGTGACAGTTTGCAAAGGGTATGAATAATTTTAGACAGATCACTTTTTGTTCAAATGTAAATAAAAGCTGAGAAATAATTTTTTCCACAATGATGCCTCTTGTACATCGTCTTATTATTTTTTGGGAGAAGCCTGTGTCATTTCTGGTCAAAAAAAAAAAAACTTGCTGGTTGAATAAAAGTAACTATAAGTCAAAATTTGCCAGGGGTATGAATAATTTCGGGTTTGACTGTATATATATATATATATATATATATATATATAGGGTACGCTCCACTGTACCTTTGCAGAACCTACAGTATAGATTCAACACAGAAGTATAAACTTGCAGATTTAATCACTTTCTGCAGATGATAAGAGTTAACCTACAATTTCCAATTGACCTATCACTGAGCTGAGCTGTGCCAGAAT